AACTTAAGGTGAAGAGGAGGCGGAGTCGCTGCTACGCACTATTCCTGGAGAAGAGGAGGGAAGGGAGAAGGAGAAGGAAAAGAGAGATAGGAGAAGAAAATGGAGGAGGAAAAGCAAAGAGATGGAGGAGAAGAAGAACGAGAGGAGCTAAGGGGAGTTTGGAGGAGCGAGATGGCATCAACGAGAGGAAAAATAGGGTAGGTGGATCTCGTTGGAAAAGAAGAAGAAGAAATGCAAGAAAATCAAGCGAGTAGGTATATGTAGGGTTTTTTTTTTTAGCAATGGTTTTTGTCGATAGTTAAAACCATTGCTAAACCTTAAAATCTCTATTATTTTTTTTCAAAAAAAAATTCGTTTCCCCTCGAACGGTAACAAATTAATGATGGTTTCTTGAAAATTGTCGCTAATTTTGGTATCTAGCAATGGTTTTATGAAAATCATCGCTAAATACCCGACATTTTCTATTGCTTTTAGCAACGATTTTCAAAAAACCATCCCTAAAACTCTATATTTTCATGGATAAAATCCTCCCTTTAATCCGTAGGATTTTAGCAACTCGTTAAGAAAAAACCATCGATCAAGGAGGTTTTCAATGGTGGTTTTATTAAAGTCATCACTAATAACCTTTTTTTCTTTTTTGGAATTAGCAACAATCTTCTAGAACCCCGCTAAATCCAAAAAATCAAAAGATTTTTAGCAATGGTTTTATTAAAACCGTTACAAAAAACTCCACTATAAAACCGTCGCTAAAAACTCCACAATTGGTCCGAATCTACGACGTTTTCAAAACCATGGCTAAAGACCAACATTTGACGAGAAACTAGTTATGGTTTACCCAAAATCGTCGCTAATTCATGGTTTTAATGACAAAATTAAATACCGTTGCTAAAAAACAATCGCAAATGCCCTTGCTTTCTAGTAGTGTTAATTTTGTTAAATTGGTTGAATTTTAATTTTATTTATAGAATTGTTATTTTAAACTTAATTAATTTACTTAGAAAGTGTTACCTATTTTAACTAGTTTGTTTTCTAAGTCATTTTCATTCATCCTCCCCCAGTTGCTATCATACCCTATCATAAACTTAAATTTAACTAATTCTATAAAAGATGACGCTACCTATTTGCATTCGGCAGTCCATTTTATCAATTACAAAGTTTGACATTTCAAATTTTAATACCTATCAATTTGCATGGCCGGCTTGACGAAAGAGTAGGAGAGATGAGGAAAATTTTTGTTTTCTTCTTTTACTCAGAGCTTACAAAGATATGGTTGCATATCTCCTTCCACGTGAGAGGTCTCTAAAATAAATTATACCTTTTTTTTGTTGAAATTAAAAAAATATATGGATTTGAAATTCTAAATTTAAAAGATTTAGAAACAAATTTTGTGCTAATATAATCATGTTATTATTATTGTTGTTTTGATGAACTATCACTATATAATTATTATGACGTTGATCCATGATACTGTGAAATTGATTTAAACCCATTCTATTAATTCCTAATAATTTCTATTTTCACTTTGACAAGTAAATTTTTTATTTTCCAAATATATAGTCAAGGAATAGTCGAATTTATTAGTCCTTTGAATTCCTAATAATTAACTTCAACTGCATACCTCATTTTGTCGTCTAGTACTATATTAATTAGTCCAATTAGTTGAATATCTCAACCTGTGATTCGTCCTATTGGAATAAAAGGTTGTTAGAAGACGTTGGAAATAGAAAATTTTGGACGGGCACGGATGATTTCTCAATTTTATATATGTTACTCATTTTTTTGTTTATCCTGAGATTTCTTTATCTTTTCAATATAAAATATTTTATTTATAGTTTATTTTTTTAAATTTATCAAATGATTTTAGTTCTATGATCTTTACTAGATTGTCAGATCTTTTTAAAGTTTTAATATTATATAAAATTAAATAATTAAAATTGAATTTTATTCTAAAAACTTAATCCTTTATAGAGTTAGATAGCCTTTGTAGAATCAGATTTATTCATGCCATACAGATTTTTTTTTTTTAAATGTTACTTTATTGTGGACAAAAGAAACTTTTGGACAGCCATGAATGATTCTGTAATCTTCAATCCCGTCATAACACATTGCAAAAATAAAACAAAACGGTAAGATAAAAGTTGACATGCAGCCAAAAATTGTGAGTAAAATGAAGTCGTCTGTACAGAAAATTGACCTTAAAGAAAGGGAGGGCAAACTGGAACCTTGTCGTATGATAATGATTTCACACTAGCGGTCCATTCCTTCCCAGGAAATTTGTCTTAATTCTATTCAATTCAGATACAGCATTACGAATGTCCATTCTCTCTCTTGGAAACTTTTCTGAACAGAGAACTCCTACCTCACTAATTGAAATCAAACACTCTAGGATTTGATCGGTGCCTATTCCCTCGTTAACTTCTCTCAGGAGTACTGGATCCATGACTTCTACCAGACGGTTAGGTAATGCCATTTTAACATAATTGTGAAGTTCTATTCCATCTTTAAACATGCTATCTGTAGGTCTCTTTCCCGTAATCATCTCCAACAGTAGGATGCCGTAACTGTACACATCCACATACTCTGCAGTCAGTTTGTTTGCATGGTTAATTAATCAAAGATGTTTATGACCTATTAGATTAAAAGCTATAGAAAACTTGTAAAAAATGGAATGTACAATCCTTCTAGTGTTGTATGTTACCTAGAGCAGCGCAGCCGATGGTGCCTTTTAATCCAACGGAGCTTGACTTACTTGAAGATAACTGAGAGGAGGCTTCAGAAAGGAATTTTAATAATCCAAAGTCCCCAACATGAGCTGTCATATCTTCGTCGAGAAGAACATTACTAGGCTTAAGATCACAATGAGCAATTGGCATTTCACAATCGTTGTGCAAATAGTCGAGTGCACTAGCCACATCTATTGCAATATTTAACCTCTGAATGAGATTAAGATTTCTTCGATCGAGCACTTCTTGATCTAATGGATGGATTGGATGCAACCAGTCTTCTAGACTTCCATTGACCATGAACTCATAAACAAGAGCTTTGAAATCATTACCTTGAAAATCGATGCCCGCACATGCACTTAAAACTTTGACAAGATTTCTGTGCCTGATGTTTAACAAGGCTGCACATTCTGTCATGAAGCTTCTGGAAGCTCCGTTGCGTAGTAAGTTGAATACTTTCACAGCAACAACCACTCCATCCAATGCGAGAACTCCTTTATACACAGATCCAAAACTACCGGAAGCAATTAAATTAGTAGAAGAGAATCCATCAGTTGCTTGGAGGAGGTCTTTGTAGGCTACCCTCCGGAATGGCATCTCCCATGACAACTCTGAATTAGGCCTATTTTTTGTTTTTCTCATGCAAAACAAAAACAAAAAAGAGGTCATCAAGATTAATCCGATAAAGCCACTAGAAATTGTTACTATATATATCATCCTAGTAGACGATTTTCGCTTTATTAACTTGGATGTGCATCTGGGCAGATTCAACTGCAATATTCCTCCACAAAGTTTCTTGTTCCCTGAAATTGAAACAGCACTTGCATTCTGAAAGGCACCATGCATAGGCACCTCACCTTCAAGGTCATTAAATGACAGATCCAAACTCTCTAACGACAAGTCTCCCAAAAACTTCGGGATTTTGCCAGTCAAGTTGTTGTAAGAGAGATTGAGATCTTGAAGTCCTCTCAAGGAATTCAAAGACTCGGAAATGGGACCTTGGAAGAAGTTTTCACCCAAATTCAATTGTTCCAAATGCTCGCAACTGCCACGACTCGCGGGAATTTCCCCTGATAGCCTGTTTTGGGAGATGTCAAGGTATCCCAGATTCACTAACATACCCACTTCAGAGGGAAGGGAACCAGTCAGCTGATTTCCAGAGAGGACCAAATAGGTTGACAAGGATGAAATGCTAAGGACCTCTGCTGGTATGGAACCACTCAGATTGTTTTGGGAGAGATCCAAGAACAACAAGTTCCGGCAGTTTCCAAGACTTGGCGGGATGCTTCCCTGTAAATTATTTTGATGAAAATCAATTTGCATCAATGAGGGGATGTTCCCTAAAGAAGAAGGGATGCTCCCAGATAATTTGTTTTCATTGAGAAACAAATCACCTAAATTTTGTAATTTACCCATAGAATTTGGTATACTGTCAGTCAATTGATTTGCCTCTAAACCCAAAGCATCCAAGCTTATGAGATTTCCAATGCCGTCAGGAATGCTTCCACGTATTCGATTGCTTCCAATTGTAATCACCTTGAGATTTGTTGGGGAGTTGCTAATGATATCAGGCAGTACCCCTCCAAAATTGTTGTCACGTATAGCCAAAGCTTCCAACTTGCTGCTGTTTGAGAGGGTGTAGAAAAAGGACAAATCGCCATCCTCGTCTGTAACCGAACCAAACGACCTACTTCTTGGGGAATACTACCGCTGAAACTGTTGTTTCCCAAGCTTAGTAGCCTTAGAAAACTCAAGTTCCCAATGTGGGGAGATAGGCTGCCCACCAGTTGGCTAGAGTGTAGGTCAAGCTCTACGACTCTTTGATACCGCTTTCCGCATGTAACTCCTGACCACTGGCAGAAGTGTAAGGATTCATTCCATGAGCTTAATTTGTCATTGGGGTTAGAAATTCGAGCCATAAAAGCTAGTAGAGAGAGTCTGTCTGTCTCGCTTCCTTCACTAGCTAATGAGAGGGAGAAAGAGTGCTGAGTTATTTGCAGGAAAAGAAACCACAATAGGCATGAGCTCATGCTTGGCAGCTCCATTTTTTGTCAATGGGGTCTATCTCAGAGATTTAGTTGTGATGAAATGGCTTACTGTGATGCAACTATATAGGAAAGGATATTTGAACGGCGTTCATTAAGTTTAATTCAAACAAAATGTAAGTTCGACTATCTAACTTTATACAGGATACCAGTGATATTGCCAATATCGTACCGTTACCCTAGGTTTTCCTAGATCGTAAAAAGGAAAATTATTTCTGTGTACTTTGCTAGTTTACTTATTGGCACCATCTTCTTGTTTTGGTGCCGTATTCTTAATTTTCTTGTGCTTTTGAGTGAACTTGTTATTTATTTTTATTATTATGTTTTGTTCATTTGTAAGTTTATTGGTCTTGTGCTATACAATTATATGTATAAAGTTTGATGGTTCAAATTGAGTTTCATCCAAAAGACTCAACCCTTATTGTGATTGGTTTCTTCTCAACTTTATATAGTAGTCATCTTTTGTTTATCTTTTCAATGTAGGATTTGTTTATCTTTTCAATATGTGATATATTTTTTAATACCCTTTTACTTGTAGTTTATCTTTTGAGATTTGTCAAGTGGTTTAGGCTCTAGGATTTTTATTAAGTCATTAGGCTTCTTTAAGCCTTTGATGCCATATAGAATTAGATAATTGAGATTGAGTTTCATCCAAAAAACTTAAGCTTTAATTCAATAGATTTTGATTGAATTGTTGTCCGTAATCCTATGCAAAACTATACTCTTTTTTATTTTATTTATTTATTTATTTTATTATTTTTTTTTAAGGGAATCAGCCATAGAGGGTATCAAGAAAGCCACTATATCAAAAAGCAAATATCATATAAAAATAATAATAACCGATTGGTACTTCAAAAAGCAAATATCATTCAATCTAAGCCTTATCCACAATCTCTGATCTCATTGAATTTTTATTTCGACAAGTCACAACTGCTTCAAAGAAACTAATAAGAAACAATTTCGAGGAAAGTATGCCCAGTACCGATGACTACTGAATTTCTAAAGTCAAATTAAATGCCTTTACTTCTACGTTTCCAAATCAACATATTGTCCCTCATATAACATATTTCATTTTTACTTGTATGTGTATATATATCACACAGCTAGCTAACCCGCTCCATCTTTACCATCACCCATCTCGCAAACTAGATAGCTCTCGGCTTTTTATTCCCTAGGAGTCTCAGCCATTTTTTCGTATAAGAAATGGGGTATCAACGAAAGAATCAATACTTGACAACAATACTGTTTGTTATCATTATTTTTCTGTTATTTTCCAACCGAGTAATGGCAGCGAGGGCATTACGGGGTGAAAAAAGATGCGAGGGCATTACTTGTATGTGTATATATACAATTGTATGCATAGAGTTTGATGGTTCAAATTGAGTTTCATCCAAAAGACTCAATCATTATTATGGTTGGTTTCTTCGAACTTTATATATTAGTCATCTTTTGACTATCTTTTCAATGTAGGATTTGTTTATCTTTTCAATATGTGATATATTTTTTAATACCCTCTCACTTGTAGTTCATCTTTTAGGATTTGTCAAGTGGTTTAGGCTCTAAGATCTTTATTAAGTCGTTAGGCTTCTTTAAGCCTCCGATGCCATATAAAATTAGATAATTGAGATTGAGTTTCATCCAAAAGACTTAAGCTTTTATAGAGTTAGACAAGTTGAGATTGGATGACATCCAAAAGGCTTAAGCCTTATGGTGTGGTCCTTATCAACTTTATATATTAGTCATTTTTAATTTAATTATTCAAAGTGAAATATGTTTCCTAACACTCTCCTTTACTTGTAGTCTATCTTTTTGGATCCGTTAAGTGAATTGGACTCCGAGTCTTTGTTGAGCCGTTAGGCCCCTTTGAGCCTCGATACAATATAAAGTAGACGAGTTGAGATTAAATTTCATTCAAAAGACATAAGTCTTATGGTGTTTGGCTCCTTCTCAACTTTATATAATAATTATTTTTTGTTTAACTATTTAATATAGGATATATTTTCTAACAACATATAACTCTCATCTATTCTATAATCATCAAGTCAACTTGAGATATTAGGATTCAAGCCTACTTCTCTAAAAAAATATAATGTATATAGTTACTAAACTATACTTGCTTGTGTTGATGAACTCATTATTAATGTAACTAGCTGATTGTGTATTTAGATTTTTTATTTTATTTTATTTGTACAAATCAATATAGATTAACGATTAGTGATTAGCGTTACAATAGAGGAGAGACAAGCACTAAAAAAAACTATCAAATAGCGATAGAAACTAGTAATGGATCAACTTGCATCTCTAAATAGTATGCAAATAGCGATAGAATAACGTCTTTTGGAACTAACAACAGAATAGCAATGGCTTGGTGACAATTTATTTGCGACATATACCAATCCATCATTAAATTTGGTGAGAAAATATTCTCAAGATTTTAAAGATGGTTTAACGATGAATTTGCAAGGAAAATTGCTACAAAATTGCAAATCCATCACTATTTTTAATGTTTGGATTTACCGATGGATATTCTATCGCTAAAAGAAACATCCCTCGTAAATTAAGGACAAAAAGTCCGTCGCTAAATGTAAAGAATTGGGCAGACTTTTTGAAATTCAAAAATAGCCTAATTAGCGATTAACGTAAAAGTCCATCGCTATATCTAAAAAAAGGAATTCCAACTATAATTAATTACTTGCCCACTTTTTGATGAATTAGCAATGGACGTAAGTGTACGTCGCTAATTAGTAATGGATTAGCGATGGGATTGCATCCTTCGCTAGTTTTCAATTCCTAATTAAACCATTTTCTTCTTTTTTTCTCTCCATTTTGTTTTTTCTCTCGCTTTTCCAACCGATCGTCACCATTCAAAACACCGCAAAACTCCACTCTTCAACTCTTAATCAATCCACACTCACTTTTGAAATAGATAAGTTTTTTCTTTCTTTTATTTTCTTAATTAAATTTAGTAATTTGTTATAATTGTTAGGCTAATTTTAAGTTTAATTGCTTGATTTATAATTTTATATATATTTAATTATTATTTTATTGATATATTTGTTAAATTATTAATTTTTGTTAATTTTTGAGTTAGTTTGTTAAATTTTGTTAAATGTTAGATAAATAAATAAATTAATTATTATTTAAATTTAATCGAATTGATTTTTAATTAATTAAGTTTATTTTATTCATGTTTAGTTAATTAATTAGGTTAGTTTTTTTTTTAATTGGTTGAATTTTAATTTTATTTATATTATAAAATTTAAATTTAAATTTAAATTTGCTAGAATTAGAATTAATTAATTTAATTTGATTTATGATTAATTAATTAATTAGGTTAATTTAGTTTAATTTTTGAATTTTAATTTTATTTATATCAGAACTTGATAATTAATTTTTATTTTAAAATTAATTAATTTGATTTGATTTGTGTTTAATTAATTAATTAGGTTAATTTTTTTAATTGGTTCAATTTTAATTTTATTTATATTATAACTTGATAATTAATTGTTATTTTAAATTTGATTAATTTTATTTTATTTATGTTTAATTAATTAATTAGGTTATTTTTTTTAATTGGTTGATTTTTAATTTTATTTATAGAATTGTTATTTTAAACTAAATTAATTTAATTAGAAATTGTTACGTCTTTTAACTAGTTTGTTTTCTAAATCATTTTCACTTAGCCTGCCCAGTTGCTATCATATCCGATCATAAACAAAAATTTAACGAATTGTATAAAAGAAGATGGGTACATTTGTTATAAATTTGCGTTCGGCAATCCATTCTATCAATCTCAAAGTTTGAAATTTCATATTTTAACACCTATCAATTTGCATGGCTTGACAAAAGAGCAGGCGAGATGAGGAAATTTTTTGTTTTCTTCCTTTTCTCATATATACCTTACAAAGATATGGTTGCATATCTCCTTTCACATGAGAGGTCTATAAAATAAATTAGACCTTTTTTTGGTTGAAATTAAAAAATATATGGATTTGAAATTCTAAATTTAAAAGGTTTAGTTTGTGCTAATATAATCATGTTATTAGTATTATTATTATTTTGATGAACTATCGTGTTATTATTATTATTATTATTTTGATGAACTATCACTATATTATTACAACGTTGATCCATGATACTGCGAAATTGATTTAAACCCATGCTATTAATTCCTAATAATTTCTATTTTCAACTTTGACAAGTAAAATTTTTATTTTCCAAATATATAGTCAAGGAATAGTCGAATTTATTAGTCCTTTGAATTCTTAATAATTAACTTCAACTACACATCTCACTTTCAAAAAGAAAAAGAAACTTTAACTACACCTCCATTATATTAGTCCAATTAGTTGAATATTAGGTGGAGAGGCAATTTTCTTTTCTTTTTTTTTTTTTATCAAGAGTTCGATTTTCATTCTTCAAAAACTAATTTTTTTCCCCCTTTGTGTGACACTATATATGAATTAATGGTGTATTCAAAAAGTTCAGTCTTTTAAATCCACTTAAGACTAATTGTGATCCTATGCTGATCTATGCTGATCTAATTGAGAAAGTAAAAACTTATTTTATAGAAGGTGCCTTTTAATTCAACAGATTTTGATTGAATTGTCGTCCGTAACCCTATACAAAACTATACATGTTTTTTTTTTTTTTCATAGAGGGTAGCAAGAAAGCCACTATATCAAAAAGCAAATATCATATAAAAATAATACTAACCGTTTGGCTACTTCAAAAAGCAAATATCATACAATCTAAGCCTTATCCACAATCTCCGATCTCATTGAATTTTTATTTCGACAAGTCACAACTGCTTCAAAGAAAATAATAAGAAACAATTTCGAGGAAAGTATGCCCACCGATGACTACTGAATTTCTAAAGTCAAATTAAATGCCTTTACTTCTACGTTTCCAAATCAACATATTGTCCCTCATATAACATATTTCATTTTTACTTGTATGTGTATATATATCACACAGCTAGATAACCCATTCCATCTTTACCATCACCCATCTCGCAAACTAGATAGCTCTCGGCTTTTTATTCCCTAGGAGTCAGCCATTTTTTCGTATAAGAAATGGGGTATCAACGAAAGAATCAATACTTGACAACAATACTGTTTGTTATCATTATTTTTCTGTTATTTTCCAACCGAATAATGGCAGCGAGGGGAGTACAGGGTGAAAAAAGATGCGGTAGTTGGAGCAGCAACCCTTGCGATAGTGGTAGATGCTGCGGACCTGTCGGACCACCATGATATGATCATGCAGGAAGAGGGAGTGGTATGAGTACCAAGTCAAATGATGAATGAGTAATCTGGGTTTTTCCTTATACTTGCCAACAGCTAGCTTGGAAGGCATAGCTAGTACCCTCAGTATGTCACTTTTTCGTCCATGCATGAATGATGTGTACTTTGCTAGTTCACTTATTGGCACCATGTTCTTGTTTTGGTGCCGTATTCTTAATTTCCTGCACTTTTGGGTGATTTTGTTATTATTATTATTATTATTTTCATTTGCAAATTTATGGGTCTTGTGCTACACAATGGTATCGATAAAGTTTGATAGTTGAAATTGAGTTCTATTCAAAGGACTTGAGCCTTATAATAGGTAGTTCATTCTCAACTTTATATATTACTCATATTCTGTTTCATTTTTCAATGTGGGGGTTGTTTATCTTTTAAATATGGAATATGTTGTTTTTAACACTCTCTCACGTATAGTCCATCTTTTGAGATTTGTCAAGTGGTTTGGGTTCTAGGATCTTTAGTAAATCGTTATGCTTCTTTAAGACTCGATGCCATATAGAATTAGAAAATTGAAATTGAGTTTTATCCAAAAGACTTAAGTCTTTATAGAGTGAGATAGTTGAAATTTGATTCCATCTAAAAAACTTAAGCCTTATAGTGTGGCACCTTCCCAACTTTATGCATTAATCATTTTTAATTTAACTATTCAATATTGTGAGATATGTTCTTTAACACTCTCCCACACTTGTAGTCTATTTTTTGGGATCTATCAAGTGGATTGAACTCCAGAATCTTTGTTAGGTCGTTAAGCATCTTTGAGGTTCTAAGATAATATAGAGTTAGATTGTTGAGATTGAGTTTCATCCAAAATACTTAAGTTTTATGATGGACGGCTCCTTCTCAACTTTCCGTAATAATTATTTTTTAATTAACTATTTAATATAGGACATGTTCTCTAACAACATGTAACTCTCCTCTATTATGTACTAATAAAATAAACTTGACACATTAGGATTCAAACCTACTTATCCGAAAAAAAAAAAAAAAAAACTATCATGTATATAATTACTAAACTATACCCGCTTATGTTTGTGAACTCATTATTAACGTAACTAACTGATTGTGTATTTAGGTTTTTTATTTTTTTATTTATGCAAATCAATATAGATTAATGATTAGTGATCAGCATTACACTAGAGGAGAGATGAGCACCACGAAAAAGGTCAAAGAGTGATAGATCAACTTTCGTAGCTAAATAGTAAGCAAATAGTGAAAGAATAGTGTTTGTTGGAACCAGTATTGGAATAGCAATGAATTAGTGATAGTTTATTAGCGATGGATACCAATATATCACTAAATTTGGTGGCAAAATATACTTTGGAGTTTTAGAGACGGTTTGCCGACGAATTTACTAAGGAAAATAGTAACAAAATTGCTAATTTGTTAGTATTTTAAATGTCTAGATTTACGGATGGATATTCCCTCACTAAAAGAAATATCCTTCACAAATTAGCACTAGAAAAGTCCGTTGCTAGAGGTGAAAAATTAGGCAAACTTTTTGAAATTCAAAAACCATATAATTAGAGATGGATGAAAAGTTTGTTGCTATATGTAAAAAAAGGAAGGCCAACTCGTAATTAATTAGTCGCCCATTTTTTGATGGATTAGCAATGGATGTTAGTGTTCGCCACTAATGACTAGATCGCTTCGTTGGTATTTTTCAATTCCTAATTAAACCCATTTCTTCTTTTTACTCTCCTGTTTTCTTCTTCCTTTCCTTCTCCAACTAGCCATCGGTATCCCCATTCAAAACCCCCTACCAAACTCCACTCCTCCTCTCTCAATCAATCCATACTCACTCCAAGCTCCGTTCTCTAAAAAAAAATATCATGTTTTTCCTTTCCTCCTCTTGGTGTAATTCCACCCGAAATAGATAAGTTTTTTCTCTCTTTTGTTTTCTTAATTAAAGTTAGTAATTTTTTATAATTTTTAGGTTAATTTTAAACTTAATTGCTTTATTTATAATTTTGTATATAGTTAATTGTTATTTTGTTGATTTATTTGTTAAATTATTAATTTTTTTAATTGTTGGGTTAATTTGTTTATCCATGAAAGTTTGTTAATTGTTTGGTAAATTTGTTAATTAATTGTTATTCAAGTTTAATAAGAATTAATTTTAAATTAATTCACTTATTTTTATTTATGTTTAGTTAATTAATTAGGTTACTTTTTTTTTAATTGGATGAAATTAATTTTTTTTATATTATAAATTTTGTAATAATTTTTTTAAAAAATTTAATTTGGTTAGAATTAGAATTAATTAAGTTAATTTGATTTATGTTTAATTAATTAATTAGGTTAATTTTTTTAAATTGGTTTAATTTTAATTTTAATTTTATTTACATTAGAACTTGGTAATTAATTGCTATTTTAAAATTAATTAATTTATTTTGATTTGTGTTTAATTAATTAATTAGGTTTATTTTTTTGAATTGGTTAATTTTAATTTTATTTATATTAGAATTTGGAAATTAACTATTCTTTTAAAATTAATTAATTTTTTTTATTTATGTTTAATTAATTAATTAGGTTACACTACAAAAAAAAACATTTAGCAATTGTTTAAACTATTTATAAATATAAAAAAAACTATCGGTAATTATATTTAGTGACGATTTTATGACTATAAAAAACAGTCACAAAAAACCATCTCGCTGATTAATTAGCAACGATTTCCGTTAATACATCGCTAATTTAGCGATATTTTATCCCATGCTAATCCATGAAAAAACTATTGCTAATTAATTGAAAAAGATCACCAATTTAGTGACATTTTTTGTAAACCATCGCTAAATCTGTCGCTAAATTTGTGACTATTTAGCGATGGTTTTTGTAAACCATTGCTAATTATGGCCAAAGTTAGTGACTGTTTTAAACCATCATTTAATCATTTTATTTTATTTTTTATTAAATTTTTTATAATATTTTTAGTTAATTATTTCGTTGTTCACATGTCACTAATAAGAAATATAAAATTCAATCTAATTTAACAACTACAATAACGATATGAAATAAATTTATAAATAATATGAAGCCTTTGTAATATATAAAATCCATTTTAATCAAATATATATTCAAACACCAAGTTATATTATAATTTATTAATATTTCAGCAAATAAAAACATAAGAGTAATATATATATATATATATATATATTGTGATGAAAGGGATACATGTCATGACATATTAGCATTTTCATCAAGCTCATAATGGTCGGTAGGAGGATTGGTGGATGAATTACCTATTTGCATATTCGGTAACATTTGCTACATCCATTGCATCATAACATACTAATTCAACCGCCTTTGATTTCCATGGAGCAATGTAACGAGTACCCTTAAGGTCTTTGATCTCTTTTTCATATCTAGCATTTCCGGCCTCTATTTCCTTTCGATACTCGCTCATTATCGATTTGGACTCGCAGTGTAGTTGAACTAGAGGATGAAATGACATCGGAGTAATAATGAGAGGCCTATGACCCGAGTCCATACATTCTCTTCCTCTTATTGTCACCTCTTCCAACAACACTCTTAAAATCTCATGCATGTTGATGTCGGGCAATGAAGTATATTTCGTCCCCTAGCTAGCAATCTCTTCCACGAACATTTTACTAACATTGTCCTACTTAATTGTATAAATATTAATATTAAATAGCAATCTCCATCGGTTATATAAAAGTAGGATATATATATATATATATATATATATATATATATATATATATATATATATATATATAAGTTTATATATTACATACCTAATATTTTTTGCTCACTAATCGATGAATACGTACTTATCATCTATCTTCTTTTCGTGAGTCTTCAAGAATACCTCGTGAGCATTGGATTCATGGCCTAACGCTTTATACTAAAAAAAATATACTTAAATGTATATTGATATTGCAATAATTACAAATAATATATATAGGATTTACCAAGCATATTATTTGCTCCTCGTAGTTTATCGAACCTCCCGTATGTCTTGATGGGCACTGCCTTATGCAACCCATCGGTTCAACCAAATTTTTCATATTGTAAAAGTCTTATGGCGTATAATTATCAACATATATTAACTCTTTCATAAGTTGACATAAGTCATCGTAACACCTCTCCAAAAAATGACGTTCGGACTTTCGATGTAACAAACATGCTAATGTGAATAATTGTGAGTAGTTTTCTAAGCCGAGTCGGATCTCTCTATTGAATGCATTCGGTAAATTATAAAATGTCTAGACACCGGGATTTGGGATTTCGTCGGTGTTTGATGAAGTAAATGATAGATCGATTGCATTCATCACCATTATGTGATATAGAGTGATTGGAGTTTTATCAAATATTTGTTCATCTTCAAAAAATTTCTCGAGTTATCACTATAAACCACCGATTCACTTTCTCCATAACGTTTTCGGACATAACACTCGGATACAAAACCATATCTCGACCATCTCAACCAATGGTACTTAAGCTGTATCAAGCTGGATCCCCATAACTATGGTTTTGACACTTTTTGAGTTTACAAAGACATCTTATTTTATTTTCATCCATAGACTCCGGATGACTAACAACAAAATGAATAAATTCATTTACCTCATCTACAAAACCTTGACTTAAAAGATCATTGGTATATTTATTCTCGATCCATGAACGATCTGGAATCATAATTAGTTTAACACATAAATAACTTAATTAACACCTATTTAATTAAAATAAAAACTAATTAATATTTTTAAAAAATATTTAAGAAATTAAATTTAAAACTAAAGAACTTGATTTAACAAATAAATAACTTAATTAAAACCAAATAGTTAAACTAAAACATAATTAAATTTTTTAAATATTTAAATAATTTAATTAACTACAAATGAAGTTAAATTAATTAACAACTAAATAACTTAATTAATACAAAATTAATTGAAATAACACCTAATTAATTCTTATAAAAAATATTTTAATACTTTAATTAATAACTAATTGACTTAATTTAACAATTAAAAAAATTAATTGACAACCAAATTGATTAAACTAACACCAAATTAATTTTTTTAAACAATATTTAAATTTATTCAATTAACAAATAATTTACTTAATTTAACAAATACAAAACTTAATTAACAAGCAAATTGATTAAACTAACATGTAATTAAATTTTTTAAACAATATT